GAAAAAAATAGAATTCCTAGAGGAAGGAAGGTAAGAATGGAGGAAAAAAGAGAAGGAAGAAGGGAAGGAAAATTGTATAGAAAAACCTTCCGTTATTTGGTAGGACAAAACTGATTAACCTGTATTACGTTTGGATTTAAAACAAAAGATTTACAGAGTTTGGGTGAATGATCATGCGACTGCATTGAACAAGTGCATTAATGTCATCTAAGTGTGTAAGTCAGGAAACTGAGGCTCAGAGAACTAAGCATCTGACCCAAAAAAACCCAGGAACTGAACTGTATCTAGCCTAGAATTCCCCCCTCCTGTGTCCAGGCAGTGGTCACTTGGGGTCCCACCCTGCAGAAGGAAGAGTAAATAAATCCAAACTTCTTCCCAAGTCTTGGAAGCTGATATTGACCAAGACATGCACAAAAGATGAATCTGGTATGAACTAGGGAGCACTAATAATTGTGTTGCTACGAATTGGCCCCTAAATGCAATGCTTTGGGCTCTACATTCAGCTTCATTGTAAATTGGACTTGCAAGAAGTAGCATGTGGTTGATATCCACTTATGTTTTGGTGAAAAGTTAAGTTTCTGTACATTGATCTGGAATATTGCTAGCAGATGCCTTCTCAGTGTACAATTGTTCTTTCTAATGGTTCCTTAATAGTATTTAACAGTTTTTCACATGATCAAAATTAAGCAATGATGCTTGTCTTCCTTCATTTAAACCATCTAAAAAAATTTTTTTAAAAATAATAATAAACAAAAATTAGTATGTTTTTGCTATTGAAGAGCAATTTAAAAATTAGCCATTAAGCCAGATTTCCCACTTGTTAAAATGTGAAGCTAAGTTACAGGGACTATAGTGAACTGTGAGGTAAGACATTAGAGTAATAGGCGTCAATATAAACTTTGTTCAGTTTATGATAGCCGTGAATGAACTTCGATGAACTTCTTGTAAAACATGTGTACACACTGATTTGAACACATCCTACTCTGTCAATTGGGAGGGGTTAAAGCAAAGACAGCCCAAAAGCAACCAGGAACTTTAGCCCCCAAATATTTGTTTCTAATATTGTTCTCAAGCATCCAAGACTCCTTGGGAAAATGGTTCCTCCTAGCTGATCCTAGAAAGACACAAGATGAGCCTGGAGTATAGGAAGAAAAGGACCAAAGGGGTAGGGGTAGTGGGAGGGGCAGGGGAAAGGAAAGAAGGGAAAGGAAAAATGATGAGAAATGGAAAAAATGGAAATAAAGTCTTTGTAAATAGAGAAGGGTGGAGGGGGTGAAGGGAGGGCTAGGAATGGGGAAAAAATAAGAAAAAAAAAGAAAAAAGATGAGCCTGGAGTATCTTGTAATACCAGAAATCAAAGAATAATTTTTAAAAATTAGAAAAATAGCCATAATAGTCGAGTATGTTGAATGAACACAGAAGCCCACTGCAAGAGCTCCCAATGGCTAAAACTGAAAACATGTGAACAATAAAAATAGTATTGAATTATAAACCAAGGTAAAAAAGAAATATCTAAAAGACATTTATGAGTCTATATCAGTATAAGGATGAATTAACAGAGCTAAATGTGGTGCCCCATGCCTACAATCCCAGCACTCTGGGAAGCTGAGGCAGAAGGTTCAAGTCTAGCCTGGGCAACACAGTGACTTAATAACACTCTATGTCAACATAAAAAAAAAAAATCAAAAAAGGGAAGGGGAGGTAGCTCACCATGAAGGCCTTGGGTTCCATACCGAGTATAACAACAACAAAAAGAATGAATAGAATAGACAAATCGTTGTGCAGAATTAAGAATCACATACTAGACTTCAACCTGAAGGAGGAAGGGGTGGACCCAGCATCCACTCATTGGGCATAAGCTGTGTACCATGATTCCCTCCAAAGAACACAGTAGGAAAGGGGATAAAACCATTCTCTTCAGGGAGAAGCCTGAGGAGCACTACTTCAGGACAGTGGCTGGGTTTACAGAAGGAACACATCAACAGTGTATCCTTGATGTAATGAAATTGACCCTTTAAAATCTGGCTCTTCCCCTCTAAACTCCTACACCCAGTCTAACCCTGAGAGACATATCTTGTAATTCTTAATCAAGGGAAACGCTACAAAAAAATAATACTCCTCAAAACTGTTCAACTAATCAAAGATAAGGAAAATTTGGGACACTGTCCCACTCAAAAGTGGTGGAAGGACACGCGACAGCTGTATGTGATGTGTTGTTCTGGATGGGACCCCCTGTTGGGAAGAGGACAGAAATAGATGCTGAGGAAACATGAGCAAAGTGTTAAAGACAGTGAACAAATGCTGCTTCATGGACGATAACAAATGGACCACACTAAGGGAAGATTCACAATAGGGGAAATTGGATCGGGGTAGAACAGAACTTGCTGTTCTGTCTATAAATTTTCTACAATCTAAAACTGTTCTAATATTGAGCAGTTTTTTTTAAAAATCACCATCAATCCAATCAACTAGTGATAAACAAATATTTTCATGTAGGCTGCATCTTTTGTTTTGATGTGTATAATTTTGTTTTTCAGAGTGGTTTCATACTGTATACAATAATTTTTAACTTGACATTTAGTGAATGTATTTCCATGCACTGAAATTCTGCAACACTATTTCTTCAATTCTACAACACTACGCCTTCAATTATGTATTGGTCTCTCTGTTTTCCCCCAATTTCACTGAATTTGCTGGGGAAAGACCTGTCGGACATGGAAAGAATACAATGAAATGATTCTGACATTATCTATTGGAAAGAGGAGGAGTAGGCCTAGCCACCCTTAACGGGAAACATAAGAGCTGAGAAAGGAAACAGCCAAAGGAATCCACTTCAGCTCTCCAACACTTGGTGTCCTTTTCATAAAAGGGACTAGATGACTTATTCAAGTATCCATTCCTAAAATCTTTTACTGTGTATTTTATAAAGACTATTTCTTTAAAAATTTCATGTAGAGGTTAGGACCTAGCGTAGTTAATATAATAAAGAGGGGATGGAGAGGTTTCCTTTTTGCTAGATAGCCCAAATTCCCAGCTCGTGGAGCACTAATGGAAGGCGTGATATGAAACGACCAGGGGACCTGGCAGTTGGATTGGAAGGGCACCCCCCGACGGAGAGAAGGCTGTGAATGTGGCCAGGAGACCGAGCTCAGCGGAACAGGAGAAGCAGGATAGCAAGAGAACATCTTTCTAAAAAAAAACCCGGTAGATTCCTAGGGGTGGAGAATGCTGCGGCCTCGGCCAGATGGAGACCCAGCAAGGACGTCTTGGAAGCGGCTCTGCACTAATTGAATGGTCACCAATGTGACTTTCGATTTAGTAGGCTGTATGTTTTGCTGAATCTTACTGATAACAGCGTCCTCCAGATTCTGGTCCTCAAGTATCGTCCCCAACTCTGAGCCGGCTGCTCTCTCACGGAAGAATGAATTCCCCCACGGAGAAGCAGCGTCTGAGTGTGGATGAATCCTTCCGCTGACGTGCACAGAGATGCACTGCTCCTTGCTAAGTCTTACGGACGCAGATCCTTCCGCAGTCACTAGTAAAGTCATTCCAAAAGGAAGGGAAACTTGGAAAAGCAGGTCTCCTGCTCACAATCACACTTCAGGACTGGTTCGCATGATTTCTTCATATTTTCTCCACGACGTGAACTTGAGGATGCCCCAACAGGTAAATAAATAAAACACACAAAGACACACTTACAATATGAACGTTTTACAAGCCGATCTGGTCTGCAGGCGAGTTCTGGCCGTCACATGGGGTGAGGCGGTCTGGCAGCTTTCCTCCTGGGTGGTGTGTAAACCCTGGCGCCCCCAGCCCCGATCTTCACCCGGGAGGACCAGGTGTGTGTTCGAAGTGCTGGATTCTGGAATTCCTCCTAGGAGAAAATGAGCCTACAGAGAAGGCTGGAAAGGTCCACAGGGGAGGCAGGAAAGGTGAGTGGTGGTTGGGGTGAGACCCACATTAAGGGCGCCTGTCCTGAAAAGCTCAGAAAACAGCTGAGGTGTTCACGGGACCACACCTTGACGCGGGTCTCCACGTTGTGACACGCACCGTAGCGCGCACACACCCGAGCATACACGCGCACCCACACACGCATGCACAAGCACATACCCTCGCGTACACAGGTGTGCACACACGCGCACACCTAGGCACCCAGCCTCCGCGAGGCGCCCCATGGACCTGGTCCTGGGAGGCCAGGACGCCCGTGCTGTGGTGTAGAGAAGCGTCACCTTTCCCCTTCGTCTCTGGCCGACAGCTGAATGCGGACCGGGGCTGCAGCCCAGTCGGTGCTCTGTCCCCAGCTCCTGTCTGGCGCCCCGGAGGGAGGGAACCCGACCGGAGGACAGCCTCGGCCTCCTGTCCCGGGTCACCGCAGCCGCCCTTCGTGGCCACGTGTGCGCCTCGCGCGGGACAGAACGGCCGAGTCCGGACCCGAAAGTGTACTGCACAGCTACAGTGCATCGAGGTGAGGAGGGCAGGCCAGGGCTGGGGTTTGGAGTTAAAGGTCAGAGGTTGGTGGGGCGGGGCGACCAGGGTTCTGCTGAGCCCCCGGCCGGCCGCGTGGGGCGCCCTGGCCAGATGGGAGGTGGGATATGGAGCAGGGCGCTTAGGACCCGGGAGGTTAGGAGGGGAGACGTGGGCAGGAACCACGTGGAGTGTTAGAGTTTGAGGTTTTAGGAGGGTGGGGTAGGAGTGGGCGGGGTGTCCGAGGTTCAGGGGGTGGGGGTGGGGTGACTTGGAGTGCCCGTGGTCTGGGTGTGGGGATCTGGGAGGCGAGGTCTTAGGGGTGGGAAGGGGGTATGGAGATTGGGGGGCGGAGTGCTTTGGTGCGGAAGGGAGGGAGGGTGTTTTGGGGGGGCGGAGATAGCGGGGCGCCAGGGCCGGGGGGGCGGGGCGTCTCGGTGTCGGGGCGGGGTGTCGGGGTGCCGTGGGCGGGCTGTCTTGGTGTCGGGGGGCGGGGTGTCGGCGTGCCGGGGGCGGGGTGTTTTGGTGCCGGAGGCTCCGCCGGCCGCATGGGTGCCTCGTGGAGTGAAGCGGTGCGGGGCCCGCGGGGCTCGCGGGGGCGCGCGGGGAGCGGCGCAGGCACACGCGCTAGTCCCGGGCGGCCCCGCGGTCCGCACCTGAGAATGCTGCGGCAGGCGCTCCGCGGAGGGCTGCGGGCGTGCGGCCGCGGGCTGGGCGTGTGCGTGGGCCGCCACCCCGTCCTCTTCCTCACCGTGCCCGCCGTGCTGACCATCGCCTGCGGCCTCAGTGCGCTGCGCCGCTTCCAGCCCGAGGGCGACCTGGAGCGCCTGGTGGCCCCTAGCCACAGCCTGGCCAAGATCGAGCGCAGCCTGGCCGACAGCCTCTTCCCGCTGGAGCAGTCCAAAAGCCAGCTCTATTCGGACTTGCACACCCCTGGGAGGTACGGCAGGGTGATCCTCCTCTCGCCACTCGGGGACAATGTTTTGCTCCAGGCCGAGGGGATCCTGCAGACCCACCGAGCCGTGCTGGAAATGAAGGTGAACCACAGGGGCTATAATTATACTTTTTCCCATCTGTGTGTGTTGAGAAATCAGGATAAGAAATGCGTGCTGGATGATATTATTTCAGTACTAGAGGATCTCAGGCAGGCTGCCGTCTCCAATAAGACAACAGCCAGGGTGCAAGTGAGGTATCCCAACACTAAATTAAAGGTATGCTCCGCCTGCATGCTCCTGCCGATTAAAGAGGCAGCACTTCATTTCTTGCCCTAAACAAGCAAAGAAAATGCAGAGGTCTCATCCTTAAGACTCAGAAGCGGATGCTTCTTTCATTTCTGGGGGGAAAAGATGGGCAACTGAGTGAAGAAAACAGGCAATGAATGGCACATCCAGATATTAAGAAATTCGAAGCCAAATCGAACAAATGCAAAAAAAAAAAAAAAAAAAAAAAAAAAAAAAAAAAAAAAAAAAAGAAAAGAAAAAAAAGTTTCTGAGACCCTGCAATTACATCTTTGTTCAGGGTTAATAAATCAGTGAATGGAAGGGGGTGGGGGAGTCCTGAACAATTGGGGGATTTCTTTTCATTCTGGGGCTCACTGTATTTCTTATTACTGATTACACATCCATCCGGTGCCATGTCCCATGTGTACCTCTCCAGCCTGGCTCGATTGTGACATGCAGGGAGTTTGTGTTCGCTGACCGTGAATGTGTGTGTGCAATCACCGGGTTATGAATGCAGCAGGGATTCCAGGAATTGTGTGTGTGTGTGTGTGTGTACAGCAAAAGCAGCAGAAGGCTGTGTGTGAAAACAGAGGTGTGCACCTAACTGATGGGTTGGCTTGCTGAGTCCTTTCCCATAAAAAAACCAACCCAAGCAAGATATTTGTAACAGGCCAATAACAGAAGGAAAGAAAAACAAATTCCACAATCAGCAAAAATTGCAAAGAAGGATTTGTTCCAGCCTTCGGTGTATGGAGCTGTTTAGTTTTCATTCAAATCTTGTCCCCCAGATGCATTTTCTAAATTCATTTTACACTGTCAGGATGGAGCTGCTGCGGGCAATGAGGCATGCAGTCTCCAGGTGACTGAAGTTTCAGGGACAAATGTGACTTCCAAAAGAGTCACTGCACCATTTGTGTGTTTGACCCTGTGCATGCTTAGAAGCTGCACAGCCACGAGCTCTAAGACAGGTGTTTCCCAAGAAGGAGGAGGAAGAGGAGGAAGAGGAGGAGGAGGAGGACTCTTCCTCCTGGTGTGGGAGAGAACATGGTGTCTTTCAGGGCAGAACTGGACTAGGAGAACCCCAGGCTCAGTAAATGAAGGGCCTAACTTGAAAATGCACCCGTTGCTTATTTATTTATTTAACATAGTCACTGTCCATATTAAATAACTTTTTCAGGATTTTTGAGAGAAAACACCCCTTTTTTTCCTCTGAATTAAAGGAGGATTTGGTGCACTTAGGGGATCTTATAAACTGCCTCTTTTTAAATGTAGTGTCCTTGATTGAATGGATCCAGGGCTAATGAAGATCTGGACTTCAGCTGTGGAGTGAGACAGGGCTTGCCTTCTTCACACTGAATGATGGGCGCATGACGGCTCTGTGTGCTTGGGCAGCATGCTTCTCACCTCCCGAATCCTTTACCGTGACCATTACTGCTTGCTCAAGAAAGGATGTGGTGGAGAGGTAATCTTCCTAGCCTGCAGTCTTTCACTGGGTTCTTTCCTATGCCAATAATCTGGAGTAAAGATTGGAAACCATGTCATGTTTAAACCTCAGTGTGCTTTCCCCATTGAGTCAAGCGTGCAGTTCATTATTACGCATGATGGACTGGATCTCAACCACCTTTATTCAGCAGCACTCTGCAGCTGAAAGAGCTGTGTTCAATCAGTGTTGTCATTCTGATAATCTGGAAAAACCATTTTAACGTGTATAGTACACATACCCGAGGTATTCATTTTACTCATTTCCTACTCATTGGTTGTGTTCAGATGACTTACTGTGTGCTCTTCTAGGCATATGAGACAGAAATTGAGGCAAGAAAAGCAAGGTTCTGGCTTCCATGGGGTCTAAAAGTAGATGCCAGCACCCTCACCCAGAGTTACCTGGAGGCAGGAACTCTGCCATCCGGGATCAACAGCCTGCTGCTGGGCCTGTGACAGGTGCCCCATCCAAACTTTCTGACTGGTTGGTTGGCTGATACACATCTTGGTAGAAGTCAGTGGATAATCACAGAAGAAGATTGGTCTATTAAATGAATACAGGTATTATACATGGGCTGAAAGTCCCTATTCTGCTACCTGCTTACATCAGGGTTTCCTCCAGTGTGTTGGTTTCAGTGCATAGTGGTGGTCTTAAGGTATGTGGAATAAATGAGCCGTTGAGACCCTCTAAGAACAGTGGGCCTCTCAAGTGCAGACACAATCTCACACGTGCTCGTGCAGTGTAAAATGTGATTGAGTAAGGACCATGGATGCTTAGAATTCTGCCAAAGGGATTCTGAGGGGTCCTAGGATCAGAGCTTCCTGGCAGGGAGCAAGTGAGATGGCCTCTTGTTGTGATGGTGTATCATTCAGAAACATCTTAATTCATGAGTGGCAGCAGTGCTCAGGGTCCCCATGATGCTGATGTCTGTTGGTGTCTGATAACTGCTGGTATACGGGCTGTGAGGGAGACTTTATATGTCTAATTTTAGCCCTCTAATTCACTTTGCTTTCCTCCACTGTACATTGGCCACCATTCTTTCCAATTCTGCTCAATATGGAAAATTATAGTGCCAGAAAATTCTATTGGTGGACAAGGGTTGTGAGTTGAGGGAAAATAGAATGAACAGCGGTGGTGGGATGGTGTGGGAAGGGATTCATAATCAGGTCATGAGAGAAGCAGGAGGTCAGTGCTGTGAAGATGTGCAAGCCTGATTGACAGAAGTGGGCACAAACCGGAGTTGTGACAGTCAGAGGTCATCTTCCAAGTACCATTAAGGCATCCAAGTAGTTCTCAGTACAGATAGGTTTAGAACTTCTGATAAACTTGGTATCTTGGCAAGGTGATCCAGACAAGCAGGGACAAAGGAAATTGCCTTCTGTAGGATCTAAACAGAGGCTTAGATAAATCTGGTAAAAAAAAAAAAAAAAAAAAAAAAAAAAAAAGCAGCAGGGAGCTTATACTACAGAAAAAAGAATCCTATACAAGTTTTCAAAAGCCTTGTAGAAAAGATGCCAAAATCTGAAGTCCCTACACCTGTATACAATATGTATCCTACAATCTGCCCTTCATTATAATCTGTGTAATAGCATTGATTAAACACAAGGGTTATGTCACATATTGCTTTTGTAGTAATCATTTCCCCCACCCCAACTTTGTCCAGGTCTAGAGTGTTCACAATAGATGCTCATTGATGGGTTTATTGATTAATTTGTGCATTTTTTCTGTAACATCACAAAATCATCACCTTTTCAAACTCTGTGGAATACTTTCATTTAAAGGTATTCTCTGTATCCCAGACTTCTGTGAAGTTCTTTTCACTAAGAAAAATATATATTTTTCTTCTTAATAGGTTAAAAAGGAGTGCCCAAATATATATGCATATATTTTTCACATAAACAACTGCAATGTGGCCAGACTGAATTTTTAAGTAAAATATTTAACATACTGTTGAAATTAGTCTCATTGTTAAACTGAAACAGGCACTCAAGATCCTTAAGCAAGGACTGTTCTAGATTCCAGTGAAGGTTTCCATTGTAACATTCAGGGAGCTCCGGTGGTTCTGGGTGACCTTGCCCTGCTTCTTAGGCTGGCTAGGAACCTCACTTTTCAACTGGCAGGTTCCATGCAAGTAACACTTCCCATATAGTACTTTCTAGTCAAAGACATAAGTGAAAATGCAGCAGACATATGTCTGCCCTTGGAAATGGATTTGATCCCAAGTCTAGATCACAGCATTCTGGCAAACAGGAAGGAAGCAGATTGATTGCCCTGTCAACTGTCCTTCCTACTGAACCCCATCAGTAATGGCACCTCCAAGCAGATGTTCAGGGAAAATCAGCATGGACGTCAGTACACCACACCTGAGGACAGGAACAAAGAGAGACTCCTTCTTCTTAAGAGGAGAATGTTCCTTTGAGAGCATCCTCCATGTTGGAAGATGTAGTAAATCTTCTAATCTCAGTTGAAGGACAACTTCAGTCAACATGAAAGGTGAGCACTGGTATTATTTTTAGAGATTCACAAGAAAAGTTATTCATTTTTCCCTAATTCATTCTAAAAACTCTTAAAATACACATGTCGAGATCTTCTCTTATATTTTGATTTATGATTACCTTTCTGATTCTGCCTCTTAATATGGAAAAACATGAACTTATTGAACATTCAGTATGTAGCATAAGTAAGTCCAGGGATTTTGTATACAGCATGTCATCTAATTTTTATAAGTTTGTGAGTCAAAGGGAGTATTTTTGTTTCCATTTTATACATGAAGACGAAAGACCTTAAGTAACTTCTGTGAGGTCCCCACCAACACATGCTAGAGCTGGAACTCAAATCCAGGACTAGCTGGATCCCAAAACATATTCTTAACCACAGTATGGTATTAAGTGCTATCACCTCCTATGCTGCTCCCCTTAACACCAACCCTTTGTACTAAGAAAGAAATAGGGCCATAGCTAAGCCACCTCAAACCCATGCTAGAAAAGCAGGGCACTACTAATCTACACAGGAGGACTGGCTGGTAGAAAGGGCACGGAGCAGAGCATCGGTCTAGGCAAACTACCATCTGCCCAATGTAGAACCTGCAGAAAGAGTTTAGCAAACTCCTCATTGGCAAACTGTTTCTCCTTTTACATCATTTACCATCGAGCTGAACAAGCTAGGGTAAGGCTCCAGGTTCAGCTGTCCTCTGACCCAAGTTATGTCCCACACACCCTTGGACATCTCTAGCTGAAACTGGTATTAAGAGGAAGGAATTGGTGAGACAGTGTGAGATGGGATGATGCACTTTAAATTCAGAAATGCTCAGGAGACCTGGGCTCTAACCCAGATTTTTAAAGACTAGTTGTGTGACATTATACAGACCTGGTCACCAATTTAAATGTCAGTATTTTCCTCTTGGAAAATGACAGAGCCAGGCCAGGAAATTGCAGGAATTCTTACTGGACAGTGAGATTATCATTCATTCATATGTCACATTCTACCGTGTAATACTCAGATCTATGTATAA